GTCTTTATTTTCCTTTTTTTTTTCCCTTTTTGTTTCTTGAATTCTTTCCTTCCAGGTGTATTACTTAAGAGTCTGTGAAGTAACCAGCGCCTCTGTGCTAAGTAACGTGCAAAACATCACCACATCTTGCGTTTTCCTTGTGCCATTTCATATGCTTTTTTTTTTTTTACCAGACCACTGCTACACAGCGGCAGCTCGAGGTTTGACACTGACTTCTGGCTGAGATTTTGCTTGTCCTTTTTCCCCAGCCTGATGCCTTTCATTCAGATCTCCGTCACAGACAAAACCAGGCTGAATTCTCTGCGCTCTTCTGCGTTGCTGTTTGGTGTTTCATCAGCCTGAAGTGTGATGTGTCCTCCTCTTGTGCAGCAAACTGCTCCTCGAAACCCTCACTCTTCTGTCACTCTTCCACCTTGCCTAACTCTCCTCAGCTTTGCAACTCCTTCACAGCTCCTCATTAACATCTCTGAATACCAACAGCTATCCCAGTAGTAAGAGGTTGTGCTAACCCACTTTTTACTGCTATGGGGAGTACAGTTCTTTAAAAAGTCGGGCTCTTATTTATGTTAGAGTAGATACTTGCCTATGCAAAACTGCCCTGTTGTACATATTTTATTTTTTCCACAAAATACAGTAGTTTGGGTGTTTGGGTGGTGCTCTGGCTATGTAATTCTCATAATAAACCACTTACACTTGTAAATAAGCAATATATATATTAGGCATATATTTAAAGTATTTTTACTATTTAAAAGAACAGCCTTCTTAAAAGCTCAGAATGCTGCAGGGGGTGGAGGAGAGTTCCAGATGTGACTGTGCTTTACAACTCTCACATATCCCAGGTGGTTTGTGCAACCCTTTCTAACGGCTCTGCTAGTTTTTATATACTTTTACCGGAGGCCTGGTTTTCTGTGATACTGGACGCTCAATTTGCAATGACTTGCTGAGCACCTCTGAAAGACATCACAAGTTGGACTCAAGAATGAAAACAATAAAATTATTTTTTTCATAAAGGTTGCTCTTGCTAGTTTTGTTTTCTGCCAAATGTCGTTTTAAAATGTAAACTGTGAAGAAATCTTCAGAAAAACATTACTATAAATGCAGATTACTGTTAGAAACTCAGTCATGTACAATGAGAAACTGATACAGATTTTGCAACTCAACACACACATAATGTCCACTGAATAATATTTAATAAAATGTTTACCTCAGCAATAACGACCTACATGGGAAGTGGAGTGTTTTAGAGAACAAATACATTACGTGGTATTTGTGCATTTAGTTTCAGCTTTTCCTGCCTGAATACCGAAGACGTTTAAGTGAGAGACGTGCTATGAACAGGCCAGCTCGGAAGGCCGATTTGCATGAACGTGTGACCCCACTAAAAGACAAGATGAAGGAACCTCGTTACCTTGAGCAGGCAAGTGGTTGTGCTGGGGTGACATGTAAACACCTTCTGAACCCCCCCACAGCACGCAACGCAATCGTGTGGATCGACACAGGCAACGCTTAACGTGCGGGGCCGTTGTCTCTGTGGTGCGCAGCGTGGTGCGCACGCGGGACCCACCTCGGCACGTTTTTTCCTTGAGGTGAACACGCGTCCAGGTTTTGGGGAACGACACCACACACTGAAGGACGAAGCACGGGCCCGGTGACAGTGGTCAGTCGGATTTCTGCCAGTGGCTTCACGCAGCAAGGAAAGCGCGCGCGGGACGGTGACGGCTGCTTCCAGACTTGCCTGGTGCTTCTCACCCCAGCCTGTACGGCACCGCCCCGTCTCCCCGCTTCCCCCGGAGGGGATGCGGTTACCTGTTCTGCCCGGAGCTCTGCTGCGCGGCTGCCGCTCTCTCCTGCCCGTGCCAACGGCCGTCGCTGTCTCCTAACCCCCCGGTTCCGACCCCAGCAATGTGCTCTATGATAGAATCCAATCATGCATCACATTAACTTAATGAAGTATTAATTACATTTAAGAATCAATTCCTTCTACAAGCAGTATTTCAGGAATTATAGTTTGTCTGTAGATGCTATTTTTTAACTTAAATATTTTTAAGGTGTAATAAATAACACTTATTTTTTTTCCCCCTAAAGTGAGAAGGGAGTTTAGATTTGTGAAGTGGTTGATGTTTCTCCTTGGTTTGCGCCGTCTCCTTGTGCCGAGTGAGTCAGAAACTGTCCCGTAGCTCCGATGTACAGCCTGGAGCGCATCGGCCACTTCTGCAAGAGAAGAGACAAGCACAGCGCTGAGCTGCACGGGGCCTTTGCCGCTGGAATGCCCTTCTCAGCAAGGCTTTAAATGTTGACAGGATCACAATACGAGAAAACAGGAAACCGTTGCCATCACCAGGAAGTTCCCATTTTGTCATTTGTTGGAAAATGTCATTAGAAGCTGGATAAGGGGACCCCAGCCTGGGTATTTTCTTTGCAGCTGGTCAGGAGGCGCAGCTCCCAGACCCCGCCGGGACCAGACAGACAGGAGCAGGCCACGCTGACGAGTCACCGCACCACAGTTTGTGTGGCAGATGCTCTGCTGGCAAAACAAACCAAAGCACTCCTCGGTGCCGGGACACCCTGGGGCTACACCGACGCCTCCAGAAGCTGCCGCCCCGTGTGCGTACCCATCCCTGCCAGCAGGGCCCCCAACGACCGCTGCTGAAGACTCTGTCAGAGGGAGCCTGACATCACCGCTGCTTGGCGGTCTTCAGCACTGACAGCTTCTTGTTCTTTGTCGGCTCCAAGGGTTTTGGATAAGACAACTCCTCTCTCCATTCATTGATTATTGGAATAATCAGTTCCACTGGTGCTAAATACCTATTCTTATAGCCTGAGTTTCTTAACTCGAGCAAGTTACTCACTGCAAATGGCCCTGCGGCAAGGGTGACTGCAGCTGGGTGCCCCTCTCTCAGGAGGAAGCATTCAGCTCCCGTTTGATGTGCTGAGTTCATTATCAGAGAGGTGGGCGTTTGAAAAAGACAGCTTGTCATACACAGCAGATGCAAAAATACCTGAAACAGCCAGCAAGTTGTTCCAGAAAAACACAATTTTTTAAAGACACTTTTGGGAACAGGCTGGCACCTTTCCTGTGGTTAACAAAAGAGAGAGCTCTAAAAACTGGAGAGGCTTAATACCACAGTTAAATCTCAGCTCTTCTATTTAAAGACATAAAGCAGCAGCATATTGGAAAGATCGTACGGTCTCATTCAGTATTTTTATTTCAAGTGTGGTGGTAGGAATTTGTCACCAATAAGACATCTGAGTTTAATGTCATTAACCGTGGGGGGTTTTTTTGTGGGGTTTTTTTTTGTTCGGTGTACACACAACTGTACTTGGATACTTTACTTTCCTCACTATTTTTATTTAATGGGCTTGATCTATGAGCGTAGTGAAAATCCTTAGCTGTACTGGTTGTCTCTTATCCTGCACTTTGGGGTTTTCTGAAGCACATGCTATGATTTGTCTGTGGTGCTTTCATTCCAGTGCCAACTAAAAAAAATTAATTTACTACCAGGAATATTAGAAAGATTGGTTAGACTGACAGAATCAGAAAACTAAATACAGGTAAATGGCACATAAGTAAGATTATAAAAAAATAATTGCTTAAATGAATCCAGTATTGCTGTATTCCAGTAGCCTGGGAAATGTGCATCTGCATCATTTAACTGCTGTAATAATTATTTAGAAGTGTTTTTCTGCCAGTGGTAGTTGGCAGCTGATAAAAAGTATTGTAAGAGACCTGTGTCCTTTCACTCTGACCAAGGGAACTAACAGAAGCTACTTTGAACTTATTTTATTTACTTAATTTATAGCCATCTTCTAATTGATATAAATGTTTTGCTTTCTTAATGAGCCTGCTAATCATTTAAATGGCCTCAGAAGCCTATGTTCATGTCATGCTTTTTACAGCAACCAACACTGAACAAGAAACTCTCTGTGAATTAGTCACTTTATAGCAATCGGAGATTACTTCACAAATTAATCTTAATTAGATCATTCTGAATTAATCAGACTCAAAAAAAAAAGAAAAAAAACCCACCCCAGTGCTGTAACTCATTCCCTGAGACTGGAGCCAAAGAAAACACCCTGTGGTATTTGAGTCCCACCAGTCACCGAGCAATGCATTTGAAAACAGTTTCCAGCCCCGGGTCCCCTCTGGGAGCAGTTCCCCCTTCTCGTCCCTCTGCCTCACCGTGATTTTTTTTTTTGACAAGGAGAGCAACAGCAGCGTATACCAACCAGACAAAATTAAACACGTCAGAAAAGCACTTCCACAGACGGAATTAAGACATGGCCAGTGATTAATGCCACCTTCTGTACCTTGGCCGCCTCGGCAGGAAGCCAGAGCAGGCCCAGCTGTGGCTGGGGTCACGCCTCACCTCACCCACCCACAGCCCCCAGAGCCGGCTCTGGCGGGTTCGGTGGGGCCTTGCCAGGGCTTCCACGCAGGGACCCAGGCGGTGCTGGCACTCCTCCGGTGCTGCGCTCCGCCTTCGCTTCCAAGGGACCGAGCCCCACTAGGTTTGCACCTACGGTATGTTTGATATTTTTGTGCAAAGTCCCTGAACAGGAGGGACAAAGCTCCAGGACGTTTCCATCAGGCCCCTAACACCTAGGTGCAGTGGTTAGTCTGGGCAGTCTGCTCACAAGGCAAGGCAAGGTAAATAAGCTTGAAATCTTTAGTTTCACCTACGTATCTCTAACACCTACTCGCTTCTTCACTGAGAGAAGGTGGTAGCTGCTTCTCAGCTCTCCTACCTTGACAGGGTGGAGGTACCCATCCCCTCGGAGGGTGCCCAGGCCCTCTCCCGGTGACTCTTCCTCATCCTGAAGGCTGCGAGTGAGGTGTGCGATGTAGGTGGTGGCCAGGAGGAGAACATCCAGCTTGGAGAGCTTGGTGTCGGGCGGCACAGAGGGGAGAGTCTTCTGCAGCTCGAGGAAGGCATGGCGCAGGGTCTGAACCCGGCTGCGCTCCCGGGCGGCGTTAGCGGCGGCGGGTCGGCCGGGAGCTGCCCCAG